CGTGGGATCCTCTTGACCAACAGGAGCACCGGGTCATCGGGTCATCGCTTTGGGCTTCCACAGCATCCAAGGAGTACGAACCACCTAGCCAGTGCCACCGTGCCTCCTGGTCTCCCCAGGGTCCTGTCCAAGCTCCTGGTTTTCCCATGAGCCCTTTTTCAAATCTGGCAGCCTGGCAGAAAGAACGCCACTCCACTAGCCACAGGTCTTTGCTGTGTTTATCTTCCCTTTAATTGACCCACATTCAGAATAGGGAACTGTGGGTTTCTTACACACACACACACACACACACGTCTACTTAATTTCCTGTTTGAACTAGGAGTAATCTTTCCCTTTAGAAGGCCATGTTGGTCGGTCACAGGCGACAGACGCCAAGGTGAGTGACACGGATGGACGTGCCTCTTCCATTTTGCCATTCGCCTTTACTGCTCTCATACTCTAACTGGACTCAAACAGTCCTCAAGTTCCTAACAGGAGCACACCTTCCTCAATCAAATACCGTGTGACATGGTGAGACCTTGAATTTTATCTCATTTAGAAACTTAATAGGTATCGTCTTTAAAGCAAGCAAGCAAACAAAACATAGAAACAACCAGGTTTGAGGAGCATTAGAAAAATTGCTTTTTGCGCTAGAAATTTCCTGGTTGTATGCAGTGGTTTCAAAGTTACACCAAGCAAGGGCCCTCGTGCTGTACCGTGCATTCATTTCCTTGGCCACGCAACAAACCCTTTCTGAACAGACGAAGGGGTCTGGGGGGAGAGGGGCAAAAGAATGAAGGGAGGGGAGGGGAGGCCGGTGGGGATAGTTGGTGGGGATGAGACAAAGGAGGTGGTAGCTATACTTCCGGAATAAACGTGCCATCTCACAAACTGCTAATACAACTAGCTATTTAAAAGTCTCTCGTTTGTCATTTATTCTAGCTCCTTTTCATCTTGACATATTAGAAATTTGTCCCTAGATGGGCACTCATAAAGTTTATTCATACAAAATACAATAATTAATAAAGCTAGTGCTTCACAAAATCTCTCAAGCAGAGGGAATTTGAGAGCTGCGTGAATTTGGAAAGCACATGGTTTAACGTCAAGCCTATTTTTCTTTCTCCAATGGAAATGGAATCCAGGACCACAGAACCAAGGCCTTAGTTTGCCAGCAGCCTCTGAAGGAAGCCAAGGATCGTCTTCAGCAGAAAGGCTGTCGCCTGCAGAGCCCTCCACGTCATCACACAGCAGAAAGTCTGGTCTGTTTGCCATGGATGCCAGGTGCCGCTAGGAATTGGTTAATGAGACCTAGTGGCATAGTGGTTACGAGTTGGGCTGTGATCCTGAAGGTAAGTAGTTCGAAACCACCAGTGGCTCTGAGCGAGAAAGACGGGGCTTTCTACTTTTGTAAACAGTTACAATGTTGGGGGCAGTCCTACCCTGTCCCATAGGGTCCCTGTAAGTCAGTATTGACTCAATGGCAGCGGCTTGGTTTTTGGAGCGGAAGAGGCCTTGAAACCAGTCATTGTATCACACAGTACAAAGTGCCGATTAAAGTGTTCTTTCAGGTGTCCTGCCAATTCACATTCCAGGACTCAGGGCACATGTATTCTTCTGGCAACGTGACACTTATTAAGAACAGTATCTTAAAAACTAAAAATAAATGGAAAAAAAGAACAGTATGTTATATTTTGCAAGGATACACGGACCACCAACATTGGAAACTCCAAAATGAAGGACATTCTCCGTGTCAAGACCACCTTTTAAAAGAACTTGCCCCTAGTTTAAAGGATCCATTCACTGTCATTTTTAACACTGTTTTCTTTTAGTCACTCCATTCGCCTAGCAGATAGCCCACTCTCGGCTATGATCTATATCTACTCTTTGTGGTGGTTTTAAAGAGCTATCTGAATTAAACAACACATCAAATGAAGCGTTCGCTGAGTGCAGTTTGGAGAAGGAGGGATACGGAGGAGGAGTGCAGGAGAATGCAAGCGCTCTTATGTAACTTCTAACTGCCTGGGGCCAACAGAAGGGCTTTCTCCTGCCTCCACAGCCACAGCGCAGAAGCCCACCAGCACAGCCTGAGCAAAAAGGAACCAACACCACAGATCCCAAAGCTCGGGCTCAGAGTTAACCATTTTCAGTCTATACTGCTTGATGTCAATTTGGGGGGGGGGGGAAGAGCCCATTTCTATCCACTTAGGAGTAATGTGGAAAAACAACAATTGAGGGTTAGGGAGAATAAGCAAGTTGCTCAAGGCCACACAAGTCGTCAGTAAGCTCCTAGAGGGTGAGGGCTGGGCCATATTTATCCATGTCTCTCAGGAGCCTGGGAACACAGGAGGTGACTGTGACCAATGGGAAGATGCAGTACATTTACATCTAGCAGGATGGTCACCCTGAGAGCTATAACGACCCTTTCATTAAAAAGAAAAGCCAATAAAAATAACCAGGTTACATAAAACAGCAGAAGTGGGAAGCCCGCTAATTATTATTATTATTTATTTAAATCTTAAACAATAGAAGCATGTTCTGGAGTTAGATACAGGTGATTTCACTCTGGGCTTTCCCCACTGTGAGCCAGTTGACCAGTGGTCCAAGAAGAAGGTCTCGCTTCCCAGCCAGAAACGAGAGCTGGCCGCTCTTCTGGGGCACAGCGCAGCATTACATAACGGGGCAACGCAAGAGGCCAGAGACAGAGACCACGAGGAAAGGAGGCTGGTGCGTGGGAGAGTGGCTAGGCACTTTTTTCATCAGGGCACATGGCCCAGGACAAGGCTGCGTAGATGAGCATCCATACACAAATGTCTGGGGGGTTCCCACAGTGTGTCTCTGAACTGTACACACACACACAGCACAGTGGCCTTCTAAGTGTACATTTGAGGGCAAACGCACTGTGCCCACCCTGCAGTCTGTACTCTTTTTTTGGGGGGGAGGGGGTCATGCTCCTGGAACTCCAATAAGACCCCTTCTCTTTTCTTTTATCTCTTTTTAAAATAATGTTACCCTACAAAATATGTTTTAAAACAAAATGTAATTTAAATAAGAAAAGTCGGTGGAAAAATAATATACCACAACTCACTGCTCTTAATCTTTTAGCTACAGAGGTGGAAGAAACCTAGTTGTTTCATATATATATATATATATATATAAAGTTTTCTCAAATCTGGAGGCTCTCTGGGCCACAGTCACAACTGATCCTGGCCAGCACCTTCCGGCTGTGTAGAACGTACTCATGGAAGTCGTGTCTTCAGTTAAAATTAAGAGCTAAATGGAAGTGAAATGAACAAACAACAACAAAAATCAAAAGCCCCAGAAAATATGCTTGCTTGTACAAATCCTTGACTTGACCGTGGGCGGCTGGGCTTTCATCGGTCTTGGCAGGGAGCCTGCACAGTGAACCGGATGCGGCACTGACACGACACCTTACTAGGTCAACCCGCTCCTGCTTGGACGAAGCACAGGGCACGTACATCTTTGGAGGCAGGCTTTAAAATGTCAGCCAGTTCCAAACTGTGTCTAGTGTAGTTCCCCACTTAGGACCCTCAATGACTATGACTGTGGCCAGATCCGGCTGTGTGTCAGGCCGAAGAGACCGAGGCCTAGTGCCGGATGCCTTACTGAAGTGCATACATGGGAATGCGACGGGGGGACACACATGTGATTTCCATGTTTGCTGCTAAGGTATTGATCGACTGGATTCTCTCATTTAAGCCCCAGGTGCTGGGTGAAAGGATAAAGGTCTTTAGTACTGCTTTAAAGAGAAAAAAGGAAACACTGGAGCTCACCTTGAAATATTAACAATCAAACATTTTGTAAACATTTTTAATAAGTAGCTTATCTTTTGCCTCAAAATGATCCGGAGATTAAAAAAAAAATCCATCTCCCCCGCTGGGGGGTGGGGGTGGGAGGAGGGAGGAGAACAAACCTACCAGGGGGCTTAGTACTTGCATTTGAGTAAAAGAAGCACTGGTGTTAAAAGTCAGGATGGACTGCAAATGTGGGATGAGACTACCTAGTACAGAGCCTGGTGCATTCTATGTGCTGAATATATTTAGACTAAAGTAATGGAAGATCAAGAGTTCCATTTGTATCATCTTTTGAGACCAAAGACTCCCTTTCTAATATCAAAGTCAATGGCAGTTTCCTACACCAAAAAAAACAAAAATTCATGCCTCAAGAACTTTACCGTAGAGCTGTCTAACTCCAGGGCAGTTACAAATGAACCACCAGCACATCCCCTGTTCAGTGGAACAGAGAAGGTTCTGTGCACACTGAAGTTTCAGGTGCAAAGGACAAAATTTCAGGGCCTCATATTGGGCTATAAATACATGCAAGATCCACACATCATCCTGATGTACAACAACTGGAGTATAAGTGACAAAATACATGAGCATAGCAATTTGAGACCACACACACACACACACATACACACACACACACACGAGGGCAAATGCTCCCAAAGCCGCCAGTGTCAGAGGCACCACCAGTCCCATGGTGGCCATCCACCTTTCAACGTGGTCAATTCCTTAGCAGAGGCGCAGAGACAGAGGCGAGGGGAAATGCTGACCATCTGCTCAATCCAGATGCAAAGGCACATTCCTCCTTAGATCAGAGGCTTTTTACCAGAAAGGACCAGAGATAAGATCTAACCCTTCCCAGAGAGATCTAGCCAAGGTATTTAGACACAGTCCCATCATGAGTCAAAAACAGCACCCACATCATTATGAAACGAGACCTTGCTAGCATCGGTCAAGGCTTTATCAACGCGTGCACACCGACTAAACCAGTGCCAGGGAAAACGCAGCCGGATCCCCACCGGGTGCTGCAGGTACTCTTTCACTCAAATCAGGCTCAAACAGTCATCCTTCCACACCGAGAACATTTTAGTCAAGTCATCCTGTTTGCTTTTGCTTTGTTAAGCCATCGGAAGGTATATTCTTCCTTCAAGAGCTTCCTTCAGGGAACGTGCATTTCTTTTTGCATAAGAAAGGAAAGGTAAAAAAAATGATTCTTACCTTGAAATTGTGAATCTTTTCATATTTTGGAATTTGCTCGTTTTCTTTCAGAGTTGCTCTTCTAACAAGCGATGTCAACTGTGAATAAGCAAAGAGTTTCAGAGGTTGCCAGATTGTCACAGACGACTTTTGAGAGCCCAGTTTCACCCCCAAGGCTGCTATCAGGAAATCCTGCTGCCGGCCCTCGGGCTTGGATTTGTGGACGGGGGCTCTGGGAGCAGCTCTCCTCCCGGACCACGATTCTTTGGATGGCATTTTTGGGGTTCACGGGAAAGCAAGCCAACCTATACAGCTCTCTGTCTGCTGGTGAACTCTTGTTAAATGAGCATCCTGCCCGGCAGCGTGGAGCCCTAACCTACAGAGGGCTGGCTGCAGAGGAGACGATGCTGAAGCACTTCTTCGAACCAGGTCGACTAGCCAGAGCCTTTGGCTTCCCTTTCGCTTTTGCTTTTTTTAAAAGAGCTCTATCTTTACGCTTCGGAAAACTTAACAGAGTCTGGACAGAGGGGAAAAAAGAAAGAGAAAGAAGAGTCTATGCTGACACAGAAAACACTGCTCTCTCATCCCCTGCTAAAGCCATGCAGTTTTGACACGGGATACATTTCTAAAGGCTTTCTTCTGCAGTCTCTCTATTGAGGTCCATTCTGCATGAGAGATTGCTGGACTGCTGGCCACCAGTTTTCCAGCTACCGACAGACACCCTGTGCGGGCCCTGGCAGGGAGAATGGGGGAGGGGAGGGAGCTGCCGGGGAGACTGGATTCGACTGGCCACCGTAGCCCAGGAGCTAGCCAATGAGAAGCCAGCAACAGCATTCAAGGACTGTGTGCCTCAACTCACTGTCTCAGTTCCTTCCTGCTTGCCTGTAAGATTTTTCTTGCTGGCTGGCTTTGGGGAGGTGGGGGGGAATCAGTGGGAAGATAATGAGCAAGGAATGAATCATGCATCATTACAAAATGAAAAAAATAACCCGATTTAAAAGCAGGGGGAAATTAACATACTGCACTGGGTTTCAAAAAGAATTGCACTGCTGCCAGTAAATTATGAAAGGCCGATCTATATTTTTCTTTGTGAGTTACAGACTGAGGTCAGTTAGCTAACATTCGATTCATTAAAGAGGGGCAAAAACTGATTAAGTATTGTGATTAAAAGGGGGGTGCGGTTTTAAACGAGGCATCACCACCGTTCTCCTGCAACAAGGAGTGTGCGTGCAACGTGGCCAACACCCCGAGGGGCCACTTTTCTCTCTCCAGTAGGAGCTGTTTAAGGAGACCTGGCGGCATGATGGTTATGCACTGGGCTCGAAGTGCAAGGTCAGTACAGTAGCACCCGGGAGAAAGACGAGACTTTCTTCATGCGCCTCAAACGTTCATAGGAGCAGATCCACCGTGCCTATTGGGGTGCTACGAGTCGGAACCGACCTGGTGGCAGTGAGCTCTGTTTTGTTTTGTTTTGTTTTATTTGAGGGGTTGTTTTGTTGTGGGCCCACACTTACGATGCATCAGTCAGGATGTCAGTCTCTAACGCTTTACTCAAAGAGTTTGTGTCCTGGTTGTAATGGGATCCAGCTGTAAATAATTTCAAATTTTCAAAGGCCCCAAATGTAGTGTAAATGTATTTCTAAGACCCTGCTTGTTTCTTTGCCAACTCAGAGAGGGAGGTGCTGGCTACGTGGCACAAACTCAAGTTTATTTAAAAGCAATACTTCCACTTTTTACTAAGGTTGTTACAAGTAGCTTAACGTTTTCATTCTGCGGCCTCAGGCTCTAGCAGTCATAGAGAAGGCCGGGTGGCGAAGTGGTTTTGCAACGGGAATGCTAACTGCAAGGTCGAAGAGAGGCTTTCTGTTCCGATAACTCCTTGTAGAAAGAGTTACAGGCTCGGAAATCCACAAGAGCCAGTTCGACCCTGCCCTACAAGATTGCTATGAGTCAGAAATGGCAGTGAGTTTTGTATATTAATAAAGATGAGGCTGTCTGTTCCCATAAACATTTCGTCTAAGAAACCCAAAGGAGCAATTCTACTCTAGGATTGCTATGAGTGAGAACTGAACCTATAGCAATGGCTTCCCTTCTAGTAATAAAACAAAATTTTAATCCACTGTGATCCTAGATGCCATTGAGCAGATAGATACCAAAACAATGAACAAAACAGAAAAACAAAACAAAACAAAACACCACTGTCCAGTCCTGAGCCCTCCTTGTACTCAGCTGGGTTTGGGCCCATTGCTGCAGCCGCTGTGGCCGTCCTCTACCTTAGCGGGCATGCCAACCTCCTAAGATCACGTTCAAAGCACATGGGGCGGAGTCTTGCTGTCCTCGCTTCGAAGGGGCAGTCTGGCTGTACTTCTGGCTGTTGGTGTTGCCGGTGCTCTGGCTATGACCCAAACGTAATGGCCGAATGTACAGCAGAACGAAACACTGCCCAGCCCTGCGTCCTCTTCAAAGTTGTTACGTTGGAGCCCTTGGTGGCAGACGCTGTGCCAATCTAGCTTGCCGGTCCTCCTCCTTTCTACTGCCCTTCCACGTCACTCAGCGCGATGTCTTTCCCAGGGACAGTACCTGGGGCACAGTCTCGCCCTCCTCATTTCTCAGGGGCATTTTGCTTGCATGCCTTCCAAGGCACGGCCATGCTACTTTTCGTAGTTTTCGCCAGTTCCAAAATTCAAAGGCACCGATTCTTCTCTGGGCTGCCTTCCTTTTTCGCCGTCCGGTTTTCACCTGCCTCTGAGGTGAATGAAAATATCAAGGGCTGAATCCGGGGTACCTTAGTCTTCAAAGGGACATCGTTGTTCTTCCACACTTTTAAGAGGTCTTTTGCAGCAGATACATCCAAACCCAAACCTGATTTCTTGGTCGTTGCTTCCTTGGTTGTTCATTGTGGATCCGCATAAAATGAAACCCTTGACAGCTTCGATCTTTTCTCTGTTTAACACGCTGTGGCGGATGGTGCAGCTGTGAGGATTCCCCACCCTCCCCTTGATGCTAAGGTGTAATATCCATTCTGAAGGCAAGCACCGTATGACACCGACATATTGTAGGCTGTTAATGAGCCTTCATCCAAACCTAGCGCCACAGTCTTCTTCGTAGAGTCCAGATTCTTGGATTATTTGCTCAACAGACAGATTGAATCCGTGCAGAGAAAGGATGAAGCTGGGACACACCCCTTTCCTGATTGGAAAACCCACAGTACCCCCTTGTTCTAGTCAAATAACTCCCTTTGGTCTCTGCATAGCTTCCACATGAGCACAATTAACTCATTCTAGAATTCCAATTCTCCACAATGTTATCCACAATCTGTGATGATCCACCCATTCCAGTGCCTTTGATTATCATCAAAACACAGAGATTATCTGCTTTTAGGGAAGATCCATTTCATGCAGGCAACGCCTTCTTCTGAACCCAGTTTGAATGTCTGGTAATTCAGTGTTGGTGTACTACTGCAGCGGTTTTTTGAAGTATCTACAGCAATGTCTTAAAATAGTTTACAAAACTTTACAAAATTAATATTGTTAGATAATGTCCTCATTCTGTGGGATCTTCTTCTTTAAAATGAGTACAAATAAGGATCTTTTCCAGTCAGTTGGCTGGTATTTCTTTTCTGAATTTCTTGGCATAAATGAGTGAGCATTTCCAGTATTCCACCCATTTGTCAGGACATTTCTCTCGGTAATTTGTCATTTCCTGGAGCACTGTATTTTGAATGCCTTCAGTACAGCTTAGACGTCCTTCTTTAATACCATCGGTTCTGGATCAGACGCTACCTTCTGAAATGATCAAACATCGACTAATTCTTTCTGGCACAATGATTGTGTTTTTTTCCTCTTTGATGTTTCATGAGTTGTTATGATTGTCATTTTTTGCCCACACAATCCTTCAATATTGTAACCTAGGCTTGAATGTATTGTCCCTTTAGCTTGAGAAATGCCAAAGGAGTTCTTCTCTTTTGGTCACTGATTCCGGGTCCTTGCACACTTCGTTATCTTACTTTAGTATGTCTTTTCAAGCTGACCTTTGAAACCTTGTTCAGCTCGGTCACCTCATCATTTCTTCCATGCTCTGTGAGTACTCTGTGTTTAAGAGCAAGTTGCAAGTTTCCTCTGACACCCACTTTGGTCTTCTTTTCTTTCTTGCCTTCTGAATGACACTAGGCTTTCTTTAGGTATCATGGTCTCAAGGCCATCCCACAACTCATCTGGTCTTTGGTCAGCAGTGTTCAATAAATCAAAGCTATTCTGAAGCTAAGTGAGAGGGCCTTCCGGTTGTGCTTGGGTCCTTGCTGCTTTGCTTTGCTTCTCTCCTGCTTCAGCTTGAGCACGAGCAGTCCGTGGTTTGTTCTGTAGATGCCTCCCTCCTACCCTTGTTTTGATGAAGGACCATGAGCTCTTCTGTCATCTTTTCCCAGATACAGTGGATTTGATCCTTGTGTATTCCATATAGCGAGGTCCGCAATTATGTTGTTGAAGAATGGTATCTTCGATGAGTAGGCTGTTGCTGATCTTGCTAAATTCTACATGAGATCTTCAGTGTCATTTCTATCGCCCAGGTCATATTTTCCAATGTTCCCATTACAAGCATCAGTAATTATCAATGCTTCTTGATTGTGTGCCTGATGAAGTTCAGACTGCAGAAGATGGCCAAAAAAAATGTTCAACTTCTCATCACTGGCTGTAGCAATTGGTGTATCAATTTGAAAAACAGTCATATAGTTTAAATCTTAAAAAATGTCACTTGAAGTATTATAGGATTATTGAAATTATCCTATCACTAACAACACTGAAGGATGCAGTTGTCAAGGTTGAGGTTGTCAAGGATTTTGTCTTGCTTGGATCACAATCAATGTTCCTGGAAGCAGCAGTCGAGAGATCAAAAGATAAGTTGCATGAGGTAAATCTACTGCACAAGACCTCTTTAAATTAGTGAAGAGCAAGGAAGTTATTTTGAGAACTACGGTGCGCCTTCCCCAAGCCAGGCATCTTCAACTGTCTCATATGTGTGTGACACTGAACAAGGAAGACTGAAGAGGAATGGAGGCATTCGAGCCACAGTGCTGACATGAAGGACGGACAATACCACGGACTGCTGAAAGGGCACAGTAACTGTCTTGGCAGAAGTGACAGAATGCACCTTAGAGACAAGGATGGCAAGACTCTGTCTCACATACTGTGAACATGTTGTCAGAAGAGACCAGGCCCTGGAGGGCATCGTGCGTAGTAAAATAGAGGGGCATCAAGAAAAGAGGGAGGCCCTCGATAAGATGGATTGACACAGTGGCTGCAACAATGGGCGCAGCCATAGGATTGTGGGTGCAAAGGGTTGATATGGGTCAAACTCAACTCAGTAGAACCTAACAACAACAACACTGCACTTCAGGACAGATTCTGAAATGCCCTTTTTGATGATGAATGCAATGCCGCTCTGTGTTAACTATTTGACTGTCTGATTCAGCGGTTCTCAACCTGTGGGTCGTGACCCCTTTGGGGGTCGAATGACCCTTTCACAGGGGTCGCCTGATTCATAACAGTAGCAAAATTACAGCTATGAAGTAGCAACAAAAATAACTTTATGGTTGGGGGGATCACCACAACATGAGGAAATGTATTACAGGGTCACAGCATTAGGAAGGTTGAGAAGCACCATTAGACTCTAATTCAAAATGGTCAATACTGGTCCATTTCAGTTCACCCATGCCTAGGAAAATGATCTTTATG